TGAGTCATCAAGAGGTAGCTGGGGGGAGATTACAGACACTAAGATTGGAATTGTTCTTTGCCAGTCCTAAGGATGAAGTGTCGCCTCGCCTTGCCCTTACAGTCAACTTCCTCTACAGGCTGATCTGCCACTCTCCTGTTTTTGAGATCCTCTGTCTTGTGCCACCCACCCACCCCACCCCCAGCCAAATGAGACACATCATTGTTTTCCCAAGTACCTCCTGACTGCACCCTGCTGCTGCCTTTGCTTATCCTGTCCCCAGGCCTGGCGTTCCCTCCCAGTGTCTGGACTGTGGAATCCCTGCCAGTCCTCGTGAGAATTCAGACTTGAAGCATCTCACTGGCTAACAAAATGTGATCCCTTCTCCCCATAGTGCCGGAACCTCACAACACTTGGTCCTTCCTCTGCTGTTTTCTTAGCTATTCAATCAAAGCTTTAAGGGACTCTGAGTAGGGTGCACATGGTATCTTTTTAATATTCCTTGCAAACTGTCTTGCAAGTTGTTTGTGAATGTATTTTCCATGTCAAGTCAACCTAAACTTGCAACAGCTTAAGTATTTCAAGTTATGGAATCACCATATATCTAGTCTAGCTCTGCTTTGCCAGCTAAGCACCCAGAGGGATACATCACAGGGAGGCAGTGCTTTTTCAGATATTTCAAATTCAGGAAACTAAAGATGGAATGCTAAGATTGAATAAAAACAGGGCTATTCTAGGTGAATCATATGGCATGCATAACCCATTCTCCTGCCTTCTTCCCTGACCCCGTTTCCTTGGACATTCTGGAACCATGTCTGCAGATTCTTAAAGCTACTGAGGACACAGTCTGAAAGTAGCCACTCTGGCAACTGAGCCCATGAAATGCCCACCGTCATAGTCATCATAAAAGTATCTGTCTTTCTCCTCCAACTCTGATAATCCCCCCTGAGACCAAGCCCTCTCCAGGTTTCCAATAATTGACTTCACCCAGTTGAAAAAAATAAACAACAAGGTAGAAAGGAAGAGAAATTGTCACTACTAACACCAGCCCCGTGTAAGTGACGCTCATGTCTTAGGGCAACTATCTACCAAAACAGTTGGTAAACATGGTAAACATGTAATTTAGCATGTACACGAGAAGGCTGTGCTTCCAAAGAATCTTCTAGAGGACTCTATGCTTAAGCAGGATGGGTTAGGCAGGACCTTCTGCTCCGTAACCATGGAGCAAGATCATGTTTGGGGAGGCTGGGAGCTTGTTTTTCTTTTCTGTCAGGAGTTGTGATAAATTTGGATTTAACTGCAGGAAGAAAAATTTGTGTGGCCAGTAGGTTAAGTGGGGACATCAACACACTTGAAAATATACTCCTTTCTGAAATATCTCCTGTCAGTAAAAAAGAAAAAAGTATTATAATCATCATTTTGATAAGAGACAAAAAGATGCTTCACCTCAAGCTGAGACATAATTACAAGTGCTCTCGCTTTCTCAGATCCATGCAGAAGACCATAGGAGGGATGATATTGACCTTGGCTGTGTGTGTACTTTAGCCGTGAAATATTAGCCCATTTCAGGAGAAATATACCAGGAATGTCAAGAAAGCTGAAAAAGGGAGGATGACCCAGGAGCTTGTACGTACCAGGGTAGTCCGTGCCCCACCCTCCAGGGAAGGGTTAAAGGCTGGACAATATTTGACCTCCTACCTCTTCTCAAATAGGCTAGATTTTGTGCAAGGCATTTTACAATAGAGAATCAACTTATACTTCTTTTTTTTTTTAATGTAATTTTGTTTGAAAGGCGGAGTTAGAGAATCCTCTGGTTCACAACCCCAAATGGCTGCACCAGCTAGAGCTAAGTGAGCAGGAGCTAGGAACTTCTTCCAGGTCTCTCTTAAGGGTACAGGGATCAAGGCCTTGGGCCATCTTTGCGCCAGCTGCATGTGAGTACCAGTTCGAGTCTCAGTTGCTCTGCTTTCGATCTGGCTTGCTCTCACTCCTGTTGACCTCTGCTCAAATATCACCTCCCCGTGGAGGCCTGCCTTCACCGATCTATACTTGTATGTGAGGATATTCTGATGAGTCCAAGAAGCAGTTAATGCTAGTTCAAGGGCTTGGGTTCCTGCCACTCAGAGTGGGGCACCCAGATGGAGTTCCTGGCCCCCAGCTGTTGTAGGCAGTTGGAGAGTGGAAGAGTGGATGGAAGATTCATATTCATTCTCTTTTTCTCTACTTCTCTCTCTCTGCCTTTCAAATAAATATCTAACAACAGTTTGGTTTGGTGCAGAGCATTTTGGAATCCATGCACTCAAGGAATATTCAAAAACTCATGCAAAATATGTTTTGACTAAAACTGATTTTTTGCAATAAAATGTTTATTGCATTTTCTACAAACTTTGGAAATAGCCTTAAAAACAGCTTTTCTGCTTCTAATGCTTTTATCCTGCTTAATTTTTTTGTGTTGTTTATGTTTTAAATCTGTGTCTGATTAAAGCATGCACCCCGTGAGAGTAGTTTTGCCTGTGTTGGTCCAACCTTCCAGAAGATTGTCTCGGCAATGGTGTGTATTCAGTACATGTTCATTGAGTGATTTAAGGCTTACTCTTGCCCTGACTTTCCTGTCTTTGTGCCTTAGAATTCTGGGATATTTCTGACTGCCCAACTCTAATCAGCATATGCTGCTATTGAATCTAGCTTTGGGCTAACTTAGCAAGCAAACTGTTGGGATCAAATATCTCTTCGAGCTAGCCTATTGAATCCATCGTTTCACTTATCTATTTGCTTATTCATGAGACCAACAGGCAGATTGATTAATGATCCTGTTCACTGGTTCATTCTCAAGTACCTACCAATGGCCAAGATTGGCCTGGGCTGAAGTCTGGAGCCAGCACCTGACTACAGGGTGACAGGGATCCAGTTACTTGGGCTATCCGCTGGTGTCTGCCTACATATAATTTAACAGGTAGAATTGGGAGCAAAGCTGACACTAGAACCAAGGTCGTGTGCATTCTAACCAGCATGTTAACTACTTATCCTGAACACACATCCCAGTCCATGGTTGCTGTTTAAATATGACTGTATCCATTCAGTTGTGTCTAAGTTCCCTAGTGAAGCAACCTCAGAATGTGTCTCCACATGTCTTCCCAGCCTTCTACCAATAGAAACAGGCAAAGTTGAGCCAAGGCTTCTCCTCCAACTTGACTTCATAGCACCAGGGCAGAGGTCTCGTTACAGATCTGGAGATATGGACACAGAGGGGAGGAAGGAGCCAACAGGGAAATCAGGGCATGTCCTCTGGGGAGAAAGCAAGAGAAAAAGAAGCCTTGTCCGGTGTTGGGGACAAAGGTGGGCGCCATCACGCTTGGAGATTCAGGCTCTTCTCGGTTCTCAGGAAGCACCCGTTTTCCTCTTGTTTCTGGTACTTTCCAATCAACAAACAAAAGACCTGGCAAAACCACGCTGCAATACAAGTTGCAATTTTGGCAGAGTGCAGCGTAAAGTCAAACGTTAGATTCAGCCGCACTGGCTTGGTGCCTGCATTGCCTCTAGCAGGTGGAGGTGGGAGGGCAGAGGTGGAGGAGAGAGGAGATAAGAATTGAAAGTGGTTAGCAAAGGTAATTTTATTTGAATCTGTGTTTCTTTGGCAATGAAAGGAGTCATGGAGTTTGGGCTGAAAAAATTAATTTCCAAGTTGCAATGTGGTCACTTGGAACAGTCACTGGTTTAGCCTGATATTGTTGTTCCCTTGAGGGGCATGTTGCCAAGCTGTGTGGAAACAGTTTACCTGGGTCTTGTACCCCATTCTGGAATCCGTATGTATTCACATTTTGCTGTGGTCTTGCTGGCTGCACCACTTCCTGCCTGTGTTGACCAGCTGTCAGAGCCTCTGACTAGACAAGACTCTGCCCCTTTAGACAGCAGCTCTTCCTCTAGGGAAACGTGTTCAGCAGCAGCATCTCTGTGTCCCATCTCCTCCTTTCCTATTCTGATTCCTACCTCAGGGTAGAACCCAGATGTCTGCTGAACCGTGTCATCTGCACGGAGGAATGTAAAAGATGGTCAGGATCGAAGCCAAGATGCCACACCTCTCAGTGTCCTCAGGGAAGCATGCCTAGAAGAGAGAACTGTGTGGGGTGATGGTGATGAACAGATAGCTTTTAGTGTCTTTACAAGTACTCATTCAATCCTCCGCAAAGCCCAGAATTATCTCTTACAGTTGAAGGAAGCCAAGAACAGGATTGAGTCACTCGGGATCACACAGCCTACAGAGAGCAGGTGTGGGATCCAAAGCACGGGAGCTAAGTCCCTACTCTAAATCCTGAAGGATAAGATGAAAATCCATTGGGTGGGAGAGGTGGAAGCAGAGCATGGATCATGCCATGCTGTTGAGTATCGAATGTGACCAAGGGAACAGTGTGTACAGAGGAAGGAGGACAGGAAAGAACAAGGCTGGTCCAGGACCACAACACATTGAGTATGACAGCAACGGGAGTAGTGGCAGAATAGGAACCTGTAAAAGTGGGCAGAAATTAGTTCATGAAAAGGCCAGGTTTTGTCTTAGAAGAAATAAGGCTTTGTGGGAGGTTGTAGCACAACAGTCTTGTGAGTGGAACTGTACTTTTGTATGTCACCTGTGACACTGGTCCAGAAAGGGGCCCGTAGTCAGTGATGCTGGCAATAGAGGCTGCTCTTTGAGAAGTGTTTGGAATCACCCAAAAGAGGTGACTCGGCATGGGGGGCATGGCAGAAGAGCAGTGACATTCATGATGGGCTCAGAAAAAGACCCTGAGTTAATTGTCACAATGGGAAACTGGCATTTCAAACACGTGGACAGAATTTTAGAGGGAACTAAATTAAAAGTGTTCCTCTACTTGCCTTTGTCTTCCTGTTTATGAAATGGGTCTCTAGAATCTTCTGAAGGTCATGAATATCATCTAGCTGGGGAAGACACTCTACAACTTCCAGTCAGGACTCATTCTATTAACGTTAATCCAAAAAAACAAAGACACAGATTTAATATTTCCACAATATGTGAAGAGTAAGTCTTTCATTGTACAAGTCTTTAGAAAGACATAAGCCATTACTCCAATGTTACATTTATAAAAAGAGATATAATAATCAAGAGCTTATTAGGAGGAAATTAGCTGTCACTTTGACTTTGAAGATCTTTTCTAGGATAGCTATTCAAAAAGAAGACTAACAAATTTTGTTGCTTGGGTACATCTCGTGCTGTGTCTGTTTATGCCGTTTGGTTATTATATGGTGATGTCATAAGTCCATTTGGAGCATAAATGCTTATCAATTACGTTGAAGTTCCCCTCTCTTCTCCCCACCCTTTCATGACAAATGCAATAGCTCCATTTGGCTTATCCAAAAACCCCAACTTTAAACAACATTTTCAAAGAATGGTAATATTCAGAAATAATAAAGGTAATAAATTCCAACCACCAGAATTGAATGTAGGCAAGATTTTAATGACGTATTTGTAAAGTCAACCTACCTTTATGAACATTAGCTTATATTAGTGAATAATTAAGGCAAAAGGCTATATATTTCCAGATGATCAAAGTGCAGAATATATCCCATAATGGGTGACATGAAATAGTTCCCAAAGAAATTTTCTGTTACAGAATTTATTGGAAAAATGTTATAAAAACATAATAGAAAATAAGTTTTATCCTTTGAAATAAAGTAGGAAGATTAAAAAAAACTGAGTATTTATATTAATTAGCAAGTTATTTACCACAGTGTGGCAATAATGACACCTGGTACCTGTTAAATCAGAGACCACATTCTATATGAGGATGTGTCTTCATTAAGAGCTGTGTTTGGAAGTAAATCTATTCTTTATCATACAACTTAAGAGTACTTCCATTTATTTATAACTATTATATGAAACAAACATGTATATATACATAGATATTGGAACAAACACTGATTTTCCTTTTTTAAAAAGTAAAAAAGTTATAGCATGTATATATGATATCCAATGAGTAGACGCATGACCTTTGAAGTTTATAATAGTTTACAAAAAATAGTTTATAATTTGTTCATTATTTGATTTTACTTTGATTTCTCTTGCTTTAACATTTTAACAATATTTGTAATAACACAATTTTCATCATGTTTACCTGAATTCTTTGCGTGTCATCCCTTTTTAAAAGAATCTTGTTTCTTTAGTTAAAATATTCTGCAAGTACCCGATTTTTGAAAAATCAACTTATATTACCTTTATTCTTTCAAATGACGGGTAAAGATATATCTTTGTGAATATATTCCGAAGCAGTGTATTAGAAGCAGGCACCAGAAATTAAACATCAAATTTATTGCTGACTTGCATATAATAATCACTCCAAGATTTTACTTGCAGTTTTAAACTTTACTTGCACTGTGATACCACTCTTATCTGAATTGATGCTTTTCCCCAATGCTGAACTTAAGTGTATGGCTCTTTTAAACACACTGATTAACCCACAAGGCATGAATTTTAAAAGATCTAGAGCTTAAAAAAAGAAGCAGCAGCAGCACCTGTCTTTGGATTACTGTTAGCACAATAAGCAGTCTGTCAGAGCTGATGTACATAATTACTGAACTACTGTTCTATAGCTTTCAAAATCTATCTACTTTTAATAAATAAAGCGTTAGCTTTCTAGGAAGTGAAACCACTTAAGGCTAGCTAATATTGTTTTGGATAGAAAATTGGCCTTCATAGCGATATAACCTATAAATAAATGTTATTCCCCACCCACACCTGGTCCTCCCGGAGAGCCCCCAGTAGTCTAGCACACCAATGAACAGCTTCAAGTTAAAACTAACATATACACAGAACCAAGGAACATTTTCTGTCACAACACCTTAACAGTCAAACTTCTAATGAGTTATCAACAGTGAATGAATTTCTTTCAACCTATTGTCTGTAAGGTTAACGATGTTTTCTGAAAGCATCTTAGTGGTGACATTAGGCTACCACATTTACATTTAAAACAACATTTCACCTGTCACAAATATTACATGGATGGGTTGAATTACATCTGCTATTTCTCTTTGCTTGGAACTAAGATGCTGAAGGGTCTTCCTGCCTTACATGGAATGTATGTGGACTAAAGATTATGATACTTAGAGACGAATACCCAAATTACTATCTGTGGCTTGAAAAGAACGAAACACCTTCAGATGTGTTTAGGTCATAATCAAGATAACATATGAGGTGTGTAGAAGCTGGCCTACTGACCAGACACTTTGTATTGTAGCAAGTAGAACAAGCCATACATAGAGATCTTTGTAACTAATGGACATCTTAAAAAGTATAAATCGAATGTATAATCTGGAATACTCCAAGTGGCCCACAAGCATTCATTGAACAACAGCTTAACAGCAACAAAGAACCCAATACTGCGTATTTTCTGTTTTGTTACCATTGCCATGTAATGTCTAAAAACTTGCCCCTTGGAGGAAACTTTAGCTCTGGACAAGCAACATTTTGGAAAGGAGGCTTTTCTTTTCCCAAAATGTTGAAGAAACTAATTGCCCAACTGTTACAAGCAGGCCCAGAGGAATGAACACCAGAGACTTAAGGCTTAAAGTGTTTGGGTCGGATCATCATTTTGGCCTGTTTGAAGGAGGACTTAAAGCCACCGGTCTGCACGTCAGTTATGCCAGGCCAGGTGCCCCAGAAAATGCCATTACGGATACCTTTGTACTTTTGGTGATAGTATTTGCCATTTAAGTTGGCAGAAAGGCATGCATCAAACCACCAGCCAGAACTATAGTAGTGCCCGCAGTTGCCGGAGGGATATCGGTCATTGTCCCTATCTGGGGTGGTGAAAAACTTCATATCATGGTTATAGTGTTTGCTGTAATGTAAGGCGTCCCCGGCTGTGCCGTTGTAGTTACCGACGTGCAGACGGTATTTGAGAAACTCGTTGGCGACGTAAAACTGATCATACACGGCGTACAGTTTGACACCGTGAAAATCTTCCAGATCAATCCTCAGGATCATCTCCTTGCTCTTGGTCAGCAGGTGAATTTTATCGTTGCCCAGCCAAAATTCTCGTTGGAGGTTGCCGAAGCCTGCCTTGTAGTCTCGCCAGCTCCTGGTGAAGTTGGTGCTCCCGTCGAGGCGCGCCTGCAGCACCGTCCAGCCACCCCCCATGGTCTCCATGTCGCAGAAGACTTGGAAGCTGCTGTTCCTGGGATCCGGCGTCACTCTGTAGATCTCGCTGCTTCTTTGGCCCATGGCGTAGTAGTCAGAACAGTCTTTGTAGATCAGATGTTGAACTGAAGGGAGGCGGGGAGGAAGAGGAGGAGGAAAGCATCAGATTTTGTTAATAAAAACTGCACATCCGAAAAAAAGATTACCTGTCCAAAAGTATCTTGAGAAGGACAGCACATTCTGCTAACCTTAACTTGAACTTGTTTAGCAAGTGCATAAGGGTTAGGTGCTTGTTGGATCTGGCTGGCAAAAACACTCCTTTTCACACCCATTGCTTTCGCTGGTTCTAAAAATTCAGATGATTCCAGCTGTCCTAGAAATTTATTTCGTACTTAGGAGAAAAAAAAAAAAAACAAAAGCAGAAAAACCAGGCTTCCATTTCCGTACCCTAAAGGATGGGTAGCCTTCACGTCACGTGTTATAGGATTTGCTCCAAATGACACATTAAAATTGTAATATACAGTATTCACCATAAATTCACATCTTTTTTACTAGATATCTACAGCAGGAACATTTCTTTCTCAAGAATATATCAGTATTCTTATTCTGAATTAATGATCTAGGAGGTTACTTAGCCTTCCACAAATCTGGTTTCTAGAAAAAAACGACACGTGTTTCTCCTCAGGGTAAATGTAATAAACAGATCAGGGGACTCTGAAAGAAGCAAAAATGCCGATTTATTCCAAGATGATTTCTTGCCTAAGATTTAGTAAAGTTTGTTTATTATGATTCTCTAAAGCACAACAGTCTAATTCATCTGTATTTAGAACTCAGAATAGGCAGAGCTTTGCCCCAAAACTTTTAGAGGAAAAATGGGACAAAAAAAAAACCACACCCATTTTGTTCATATTGTGACAAGTGGCTGGGCAGTGCTCGCTCTAACATGGACTCAAGGATGTGCCTCTGGTGTGCAAGGTGTGGCATTTTGCACGTTGCCAGCGGCCCTTGAAGTCACCAGCCACTTTCCCTGGCAGAGCCCCTGGGGCTGGAATGGACCGGAACTACTCGGGCCAAGTGAAAGGGATTTCTCCCGTCGCCCCTTCAGTGCATGGTCAGTGGCGGCCCTGATGGAGAGATGGCTACCCAGGGATTGGAAAGACCACAAGCAGCAACCGGCTTCCACCAGAAACTCAGGCAGAAGGACAAGGATCTAGAGGAACCAGTGGCGCTGTTATTTCAAATGTGAGAGTAGGCGTGTAGAACCGTGGTCTTAACAACCCCATTAAAGTTCATTTCAGTAATTGGGGTGCTGAGGATGCATTCTGTTTTGATAGGCTCAAGTTCTGGCTCAAGGTAAAAGGGTAAGAATGTACACTTTTCCTTAGCCACTGCCAAAACGCCCCCTACCTTATACCTTGTACCATCAGGTCTCAAGGCCACAGGTTGAGCTCATGAGCAAAGCTGCTTCTATCCCACCTAAGAAAAATCTCCTGCCTCCACTAGCTTGCTGGGATATTTTTGAACTTGAGGATTATTTACTCAAGTCTTCCAAAGACCACTTGGGACCACCGAGAAATGGTGGTCACAGGGCCAGGAGGCACTGGTAACAAATGAACACACACACCTGCAAACATTGCCTGTCCCTGTTTTCCAACACTTAAGTGAAGAAAGCGATAAGCTAAATACACTGAAACATTAAGAAATACACACACACACTCTCTCTCTCTATTTTTGTGTGTGTGTGTGTGGCAGAGGGGGTTGGTGGTCTGGCTTTCGCAATTGAAGATCCTGAAACTGAAAGTGCTTGCCAGGGATGTTTCTAATTGGTCATGTATCATTGCTGTGCTCACATTTGAGTGGATTACTTGTTTTGTTTTTTGTTGTTTCCCCCCCCCCCCTACCCTGATAAAGAAAAGGCGTAATTGTTCACTCCGCCATCCATTTATTTACTCAGGTTAATGTTTTATGGGCACTGTCTTAACCCTATGACATCCACACACGAATGATAAGAAAACACGTACCCAGAGGAGACTGTATTTGTTCCTGGTTGGGACACTTGGAGCATTTGCCGTCCAAGCTGTTGACCACAACTGTCAGATTGGCCACTTTGCTATCAATGTAATTCTCGATGTTGTTCATATTTACGAGATTCAGCTTCTCCAAGCGACCCTGAAGCAGGCTGATCTCCTCTTTGGCATTCTTTAGCTCCGAGGATAGCTCATTCACCTGGCCTTCCAGTTCCTCCACCCTGTTGCTGTCCACAGCATGCTCCGGGGCTCCGGTGCTGGCGGGAAGCAGCAGCCCACTCCCACCCTGGGCTCGGCTGTCATCAGCCTGCAGTTTGCAATCTTGACACGATTTCTTCAGACTGCGGACGATTTCCTTGAGGTCCTGCAATTCCTTGAACACCTCCTGCATCCTGCTGAATTGCTTGGGGAGCTGAAGCGTCAGTGGCGGCAGGCTCACCTGGTAGGGGCACTTGTCACCCTCGCACTTCCCCGTGCTCTCCAACCTCACAGCACAGGCGTCCTCGGCGGCGGCTCTCTGGTCCTGGATCTCCTCCTCGGTGGCGCCCAGGGTCGCGGTGGCGTTATTTGCCACAACTAGAAAGCTGGAGGCAGCCAGGACGGCTGAACTCAGCCAGTACCACTGAGCTGATGGCTTCATCGCGGCTGTGCGCTCAGCCCGGCGTCGGGGGAAGTTTGCGCCTCTCTCTCTCTCAGGCTGCTTTAATCACCCGCAGCAGCAGCTGCCTGAGTCAGACTTTTGCCTGTTCCCAGAAAAGGGCGGGAGCTTATGCATCACAGGAGGAAGAGTGCGTCCTCCCGGGCAGCTTTGCCAAAACCCTCGGTTTCTCTGCCATCGCGTCCCACTGCAGTCCCGCCGGACACACGGACTCAGCCAGGTGGCTTTCCTGAAGTCTCACTCTGCCAGTCATTGGCTCTGCGTGCACTCCAAAGAAATCATTGTATTGAGCTCGACTCTTGGGGGTGGGAACAGAAACGATTTTGAAAGACCAATGTGAAGCACAGAAATGCCTACCACTCACTCATCAATCTTTTTTCCTTCTTAGAGAACTTGTATCTGCCTCTTCTTGGACTTTCCAGTGAGAACTTTTGGAAAGTTTCTAAAATAGATTGAGGTGCAGCCCTCTGTCTTCTAAGCGTGGGTTCTCTTTCTTCTGTTTGGAAACCAGAAGAAATTGAGTAGAAAGGAAAGGACAGGAGGCTGGGGTCTTTTTTTTTTTTTCCCCTTCCTTGGTCCACCACGCAGTGCGTGTAAATAAGTAAATGCTCCAAGTACATGCAGAAGTTCATTATCATCTTTTACAAAAGCCAGCAGCTGGGTCTGGTGCCCTTCCCCAAGAGCTGCCATGGTGCTGACACCTTCCAGGCCACCCAGCCTTGGATCTGATGTGCATCCCGCTGGCTGGCCTCCTGCCTGCGGGGTGGGTTCCTGCATTCCAGCTGCAGGACACCTGCTGTGCCTTCTTGCCCCACTCATTGCAGCACCAGCAGAGCTTCTCGGGCCCCTCTTCCTGGGCACTGAGCACCTTTTTAGGGAAAAAGGAGGAGCCCCTCAGAGAGGGACCGCCTTCTGTTATTTTCATTTACACAATAGCATCTCGTATCAGACTTTTAAAAAAATCGATTACTGCTTAAAAAATAAGCTCGGAATGGTTAGAGTGCCCGGGTTCGAGTCCTACATCGCTCCAAATCCAATTTCCTGAGAGGGTGTATCCTCAGGGTAGCTGGGGGATAATCCCCGTGGTTGGGTCCCTGAGGTCCACTTAGAACTCTGGGTTGCAGTTGCTCCCCCTCCCCAGCTCCTGGGTTCACGCTAGCTCAGCCTTGACCATTGTAAGCCCCGGGAGATCCCTTTGTCTTTCTGCTTTTTGAACAAGAAAGGATATCAACATGACTGCTATGAATAAAAATCAGGATTCTTTCTTAGGTCAAGGCACTCTGTTCCCTAATTCCTTTTGTTTTTCTTTAGCCTGACTCTCGGGTAACTGTTCCTTGCAAGCCTGCCCGCAGGTCGCTCCACTCTCTTGTTGAAATGTGTTGGGTTCTTTGATGCTTCCACAATTGCATATACTGTTGAGTACGGGGGACCTGCCTTTGAACTCCACATCTGGCACTGAACAGCTCAGCCCTTTACAGAACCTTCCTCCTGTCATTGCTGAGCCGCAATGGCAGCGAGATCCACTGACTGAGAGCTTAAGGGTAAAAAATGCAGTATGTAAACTGAACATTCTTTTCCAACGAAGCTGTCACGTATGTTCTCTACACCTTATTCATTTTCTTTCAGTTTTTTTTTCATCTTTGCAGCTAAAAAGATTTATCTAATCTCCAAATTTCCTTCGCCTCTCCCTATCCACTTCTAAGCCATGACATTCCACTCATGTGAGGGGAAAATAAATGAATGACGAATGATGTTGATATGAAGGTACACATAAGCTAGCTGATGACGTATTTGATAAGTTGAGACGTATATGGGTCTGATAGGTAGGTTCCAGCACGTTAGTGATAAGCTAGCCTGGGAATCCATTGATTTAGCCTGTCAAGTATTTATTGAGAATTTGCTGAACGCCCTGTACCATGCTGCAACATAGGTAATAAGATACATGCTGTAGCTACAACAGTTCCTGTCTTGTTACCTAAGCGCATTGTACACACAAGACACTCTCCTAGACACTCGACCTAAAGCAGTGAACAAATCAGAATTCCTTTTTCTTCTTAGGAAGATGCATCGAGGAGCTTGTATTTTCTTCACATTGAATTTCCGAGGTGAAACCCTAAGTAGTTTTAAAAGTGTCTAAATAGGAGCTGGCGCCATGGCATAGTAGGCTAATCCTTCACCTGTGGCACTGGCATTGTATACAGGTGCCAGCTGGTATACTGCTGCTCCCTTCTGACCCAACTCCCTGCTGATGTCCTGGAAAGGCAGTGGAGGAAGGCCCAAGTCCTTGGGTACCAGCATCCATGGGAAAGACCAGAAGAACTAATCCTGGCTTTGGGGCAGCTCAGCTCCAGTTGTTGTGGCTCTTTGTCAATTAGCTGATCAGAGAGCTCTCCCTGTCTCTCCTCTCTGTAGCTCTTTCAAATAAAAATGGCTTTTTTAAAAAAGGAGTCTAACTGTAAAAAATTACCATTTCTGAGTCTTGCAGTGAGCTTTCAGTTCATCTGTAATTCAATATTTTTTTCTTTTTCCTTTTTAAGATGTATTTATTTTGGGGCAGGCACAAGGGCTCAGCATGCTAGTCCACTACCTGCAAGCATTGGCACCTCATAGGGGTAATGGGTCATGTCTTGGCTGCTCCACTTCTGATCCAGCTCTCTGCTCATGATGTGGATGATGACCCAACTGCTTGGGACTCTGCACCCAACATCAGAGACCTTGAGGAGTTTCCTTGCTCCGGATTGGCTCAGCTACGGACATTGTGGCCACTTGGGAGTGGAACCAGCGGATGAAAAATTTGTCTCACCTTCACTGTACAAATCTGCCTTTCCAAGAAAAATAAGTAAATCATTAAAAAAAAAAAAGATTTTCTTGTGAAGTAAGAGTTGGAGAAAAAGAGAGAAGTCTTTAGAATTGGTTTACAATTGCTGGTTCAGTTCCCAAATGGCTACAGTGGCCAAAAAGGGTGATCTGAAGCCAGAAGTTTTTTTTTTTTATCTCCCAGATGAATGCAGGGACCCAAGGATATGGACCATCCTCCACTGCTTATATGAATCAGAATTTTCCGTCAAGTATTGCTGTTGACCTTTTGGCCCTGCGCATGCCACTTAGCCAAGGAACAATGGCATAGATCTATCTAAAATCTTGCATGTCCTTTGGGAACTAGCTGCCCCTCTTTAGAACCCATGGACAATCCCTTAAATAGATGTTGAGAACTGCCTCGTTAATCAGATCCGATGGCACTGATAGGTGACTCTCCAGATTCCCAATGTGAGAAATCCTTGGCCCCTTGAATATAAGCAATACTCCAAGTGACCGCGCCGCACAAAGAAACTTCCACCCTCCTGCAAAGTGCAGAACCCCTGGGGGTAGAGAGCAGAGTGCCCCAATTACGCAAGAAGCTCTCACACTCTGCTGTCTCACTACTTCCTCCCATCTCTGCTGGACTGCCACCTACACTAAGCAAGTTGAGCAAAGAAAGGACCCAAAGCAATAAATGGCTTAGCTGTGGTTTTATAGTTTTTAAGAGTCTGTGCTGGAATTTGAACCTTGGCCTGGCTTCAAAGTTCATGATTCTTTATTTTGTTTTTAATTATTTTATTTATATAAAGTGAACAGATGTATGTATTTCACAATGCAGTTTGAGGGGCATAGTAATACCTCACACACCTACCCTCCCTCCTGCCTGTATTTCTTTTCCACCCTTTTTTTCTTTTCTTTCTTTCTTCCTTCCTTCCTTTTTTTTTCTTTTCATAGGTTTTTTGCCATTGCACACTTATCAGTTTATTTCTGAATCACAGCCTTAATACTCCATTAGGTAAAGAATTCTACAGCTAGAAGGCAGAAAAGGGAAAAAAAAAACACTGCTCTTCAAGATATAGACAAAGGGTATAAACAGGGGTTCTTAAACTGTCACATTACATGTTATATGTTTTGCATTCCACATATTAGTTACCACAAATCAGGGAAAAATCTGAGCTATTTGTCTTTTTGGGAGTGGTGTATGTTACTAAGCATAATGGTTTCCAATTGCATCTTTTTTTTTGTTGCAAAAGACAGGATTTCATTCTTTCTTACATCTGAGTAACATCTCATGTTTATATATCTGGTATTTCTTTCAATCAGTCAGCTGTTAATGGATATCTGGGTTGGTCCCCTATCTTAGCTTTTGTTAGTTGAGCTGCAATGAACACGCGTATACAAACAATTTTCTCAAATGCCGATTCATTTCTTTTGGGTAAATTTCGGGGGGGGGGGGTAGGATGGATGGGTCATCTGGTAGATCTATTTTCAGATCTGAGAAATCTCCAAAACTGGACTCCCTAATGGTTGCACTAGGTTACAGTCCCACTCACAGTAGATTGGGGAATCTTCTGCCTGCATCCTCACCGGCATATATTGTTTCTTGATTTTCAGATGATAGGCGTTCTATCTAGGGTGAGGTGAAGCTTTGTTATGGCTTTTATTTGCATTTGCCAAATGAGGATCACAGGACATGGACCCGCAGCCTTTTCTTATGTGTCTGTTTGCCATTTGTTTTTCATCCTCTGAAAACTGCCTGTTCATGTCTGAAGAGGCAACCGGCGGAAGAGGAGAAACACAACAATAATAAAACAGTCCAATTAAGAAGTGGACCAAGGACATGAAGCTACACTGCCAAGTAGGGGGAGAAACACGCCAGAAAGGAATCATAGAACCATGTTATGGTTAGCCGGCTGCTTGGCTCCACCGCAGCTACTGAAGACTCGAGCCAGGGGATAGGATCTTCCTTTGGTAGCCGCATTCGTAGCTGTGAATAGTTGGTGTTGTGATAGACACGCAACAAGAGCTAAGGACTCGGTGGCAGGAGGGGAAGGTGAAAGGATGCAGACGTTATCATCAAGGAGTGAGAGGAGCCACGGAGCTGAGAAATGATGGGGAATGGCAGGGGCCAGGGGAGAACTCTGAGCTATACCTCAGGATACAGTGAAGTCACAGCTTGGCAACGGCAATGGAGAGGGAACAATGGGGTGGGGAAGGTAGTGGTAGTGA